TAATGAGAAATTGCTCAAAGATATTAGAGAGAGAGAGAGAGAGAGAGAGAGAGAGAGAGAGAGAGAGAGAGAGAGAGAGAGAAAGAGAGAGAGAGAGACTCTTCATAAAAAGAAATGCATAATTGCATATATTCATCGCGTTATAGCATTAATTTTACAAAAACGTCAATAACTCTTACTTTAATATAATATGAAGAAACACTTCCATACTTTCCTGGACTTTACTGACAACATGTACTCCTGAATACAAAAAAAGAATAAAAACGAAAAGAACAACAACAGCAACAACAACAACAGCAACAACAACAACAGCAACAACAACAGCAACAACAACAACAGCAGCAACAGCAGCAAGAACAACAACAAACAGATAAACTCGCAATTCTTTTAAACCTTTTATGAGACCCCAAATGTACGAGTCTAGATTATGTTTCTGCTTTTTTATGTTGGGTTGTTTTTTTTTGGCTATTTTTTCTTTAAGTATACGTGTATATATACATATTGTTTTATGTCCTTCCAACCCGGTACAGGCATCAGTCTTGTAGCGAAAAGGCGCTTGGTTGTCACATACAGGAGACCTGGGTTCGATTCCCGAGTTGGGGGAATTTTTAAAATCGATTTTCATCTAGAATGTCTTTATGCTGAGATGGTGTGTCCTGCTTGGACCGGGTTGGCCTGCACGGTCGAAACCCCACGTACCTTCTTTTCTACCACGCATCACCGTAAAACCGGTCCAATAAGACTTAAATCGAAATATTGACCTAAACCAAGATGTGCTGTGAATTGTTGTGAATGCAACCGACTCGTGTTTCACGTTCTCGATACAACCTAATTATGCAGTTGCGAGCGCCGTAAAACTCTTACTGAAACAAAACAATAAGACTGCTTCATATTCTAATCATTACTATTGCAATCACCATTATCATTATCATTATCGTTATCGTTCTCATTATCGTTATTATTGTTGTTTCTATTGTTATGATTAATGTTATTATTATTATCATCATTATTGTTGTTATTATTATTGTTATTATTATTACT